ACCACACACTAAATCACTGGGAAATACCCAACGAACATTGCTTTTGGGGATATGGTACTGGCGTTGTACGTGCTTGAATTTTTAATTAATAAAATGACAAAGTTATCCTTCCAAAAGTGAAATGTGTAAGTTTTGGTAATTGAATATCTATGAAGGTCAATTATATCATTTTCATTTATAGACATGTGGGCTCAGTTTAATTCTTGTTGATCGTTGTGTGGTGTCATAGTGGAGTTATTAATCTATTAAAATGTTCATTGTTTTTGCTTGATAGAGAAAAATGCTTAGGAAATGGAAATATGGAAATGGAGATGGAGACATTATAAATATGGGCTTTTCCATTCTGAAAGATATCTCTCTGCATCACTATTTATCCTTTTCACAACTAATGCATGTTAAAATTATACAACCCTAGATTTACAGCACTTTTCTCTATTCATCGTTTTTAATATTTGTTAGGTAGAATCGCACTAGAAATGAGGTTTATCAATTATATCATTGAAGCCATCGGAGACTTGATCACATGGTTGGCAAAAGTTGACACAATATGTTGTCACGACTCAAACCTAACACAAAATTGGCAAAGTTTGAGTTGTTTTAATCACGTTCCTGACAACCTAATTAACCAATTTAATCGTATTGTATTCATAATTTTGGGTCAATTTGTTTAATCAAACTTGATCTGTCTAATTAATAAAAGAGAGGCCAACTTCAACGGCCTATTTTAACTTTTATAATAGGTTTTAATTCAATATTTATATTTTTAATTTGCCTATAATAACAATATTTTTATATATAAAAATATAAATAAATTTTTAAACAAGTTATGTTGTATTACAAGTTATTTGAATTGGATTGTGATGTGTTACTTTTTTATATAAAAAAATATAAATAAATTTTTAAACAAGTTTTATTACAAGTTATTTGGATTATATTGTGTCGTGTTACTCTTTTAATAGTCTTTTTCTTATCGAAAGCGTAACACTCACATGATCCGTGACAATTTCATTCACAAGTAGTATCTGCTACTTTTGGGATGAGGTCTCCACTTCTCATTAACAATTTTGGTATTTTGTCAATTGGTGTCAATTATGTGTCTCAATTGAATGTGACAGGTACACTGTAAGGTCATGTTCTAATTAAGAATCCCAAGCTTTTGAAGCACCTCTTTTGGACATTGTTAGGCTGGTGGTGGTGGTGTTTAATTGCAAATAGTCAAAATTGGACGACATTTTATAAAAATAAATCAGCTTATATCCAACTTATTTCATCATTATTCTTATTTTAATCACATATACAAATGAAGTTGATCAGATGAATTCTCTCTTCAACCTTTTATTTTATTTTATTATTATTATTATATGTCATTTCACGTTATATATTTAATCTTATAATGTAATTTTTAATAATTTCATCATCATAGTATGATAGTCCTCTGTATCTCTTGTCTTTGATAAAAATTAAATGAGTTTTGGATTCGTAAATTCAAGTGCACAACACAACCAAATTTATATTTTTTAATAGATCAGGCTGGACCCACATTACAAATTCTATCAGGAAATTCTACCTTTTGAGATTGAATAGCAAGCACTCAGTCCATTACGTGATTTTTTATTTTATTTTTTAATTTATTATTTTCCCATTGGAATATTATTACACATTCCATTTTTAGTGATCAATTGCATCTTTATTAGTTATTTATTGTCTTTTGGTGTAGTGCAAAAGATAAAGTGGTTCACTTGGTACGCGGAGATGCTGTAGGATTTAGACAATGAAAGTGAGAGCTTTTGGAAATGTCTAAAGAACAAGTAGGAATGTTTCGTGGGATAGTTCAAAGAAAGCTATTTTTTTTTTCCCTCACCCCTATTTTGACCTTTATATATATATATATATATATATATATATAATTTTAGGCGATTTTGCATTAGCAAGAGCTTGAATTCTTCTTGATGAGTGGAGAAATTCATTCTTGAATATCGAACATTCCATCTTATTAAGTATCATTAAATAAGAATAGAACTATTAAGTATTTTACTATTCTTGGAGTATTTAAATTTTTTTTGGACAAGTGATCCTTGTCAATTGTGACTCTAGCATAACTTAACGTGAGTCCTGTCAAGTAATAATAAAATTAAAGATAATAAAATGTAATAAAGGTGTACACACGACATGACTTTTCAAATAAAATGTAACCACATCAGCACGTGACTTTACATTTAGAAAAAAAATGAAGAATCAAAAAACTCAACAACTTCTCCTCCTTGATTAATGTGGAACGTGTTGTGAAATCGACATTTTCTTTTTCATTATATCAAACAAAAGGTCCTCTAATAATTAGTTGTCAACAAGTCATTAATTCCAATATAAGATATTCTTGTCACATAAAAGTTAAAAAAAATTAAATATCTTGAAGTAGTTTTAATTGTATGGACTGTGTCCAAATTTTTCAAAAGCAAATTTATTATCCAATTGACCAAGTAAATTAAACTAAGATAAGTCCTTAAGCAAGCCAACCACACAATTCAGGGCATGTAATAGTCAGATTCTAAAGTGTTAGGCTTTGTATTGAACCCCTAATATGTGGTAAATGTTAATTGAAAATGACCTTTTTTATCCCTCAAAGTATGATTTGATTAGAACATGACACAAGCGCTAAGATTGGTGGGACCACTCTTTGTGGGGACCTTATTGATAACAGGGATCAAAATTCAAGTGTGCCAGCAGCAGAATGTTGAAACCCATAAATATTAGAATTTAGAGGTAAGATCACATACTGCTCTTAGAACTCTTCATGCAACACAGCATCTCTCTTAGGTCTCCACAAAAACACACACACACACACTCTCCCTCCCTCCCTCCCTCTCTCTCTCTCTCTCTCTCTCTCTCTATATATATATATATATATATATATATAATGGAGGATGAGCCACATGATGAGCACTCTCTAACCGTACCATTCATACTTGACAATGGTGGGAATCAACACCAGCTTAATGAGGAGGAGGTTGAGAGAGGAGAGTCAGTTAGTGAGCATCAAAGTGCTGGCACCACCTCTTTTTCCAAGACCTGTTTCAATGGACTCAATGTTATGTCAGGTTCTTCTTCTTCTTTTATGTCATTTCTTTAGTAAAATGTATCTATATATGTTTATATAAATTAGCTCGAGTCACTAGGCTTTACCTTACAAGACCATTTCTACATATAATTGTACTACTTATTTGTAGCATGTTGAGACAAATGCCACGAATCAAGAAACAAACACTTAACACACAAAGATTTACGTGGTTTGACGTAAAATCAGCGTACATAATAAAGTTATGGAGAACGATTTCAATATATGAATAAGATTACAAGTTTCAGTCGCCTAATATTCTCTCACTTTCTAAAGTGCGGCTTTCAGTTTTCTCTTATACTACATTTCAAACCTTGAAACGGGGATGCTGAAGTTGTGGATAGAACTTTGTTTCAGCCCAGGTCGTAATGACTCGAAAAATGGAGTTTGTGTATTTTTTGACATGTTTCTCTTGCGGATTGTGGACTGAGGTTGTAGATTCTATTTTAGCCCAGTATGGTGTTTTTAGGGTTTGTGATGTGTTACGAGAGAACACTGAAAATTGCAGTTTAGAGAGTGAGAAAGAGAGGGCGGTTGGGGATTAAAATTTATAATATCTAGTGAAATTTTTCACTGAAAATTCACCTCGAACAATATAAATATTTGTATCTTGTGTGGTGTATGTTTTCTGTGGAACAGGGATTCCCTTAATTAATGTGAAGATGACTGAAGAAATTAACCCTAGTGCTCAATATGGTTTCTACCAAAAGAAATTATGGTTTTGAATAGTAGAATTTTCATTATATGAAAGACATAATAATAATAATAAAAAAAAGTTATTGCATTAATGTGTTTCATTCCAAATTTTTTCCCCTGGCAGTCGTATTCATCTCAAATCAAGGTTTTTTTACATAAATAAACACCAGATATATATAAAATAGTGAACTTATTTTACATTCAGCTTTAATTGGGATGCTACATGCATGCAACTTATAGGTAACTTTATCCTCTGCCTTGAAGAAGACTTAAAGGAAGTTGATTTATAGGCTTGAGGATTTAAAAGCTGAGATTGGAATTTTAGATTTGTATACTCTCAGTAGAAAGAAAATAACAAATAAGAATAAAAATCCGAGCTCAGAAACTCAATTTATCATTGCAACGACCCGAACCCGAGAGTCCGAATCGCTAACCGGGTCTTTAACCAAACCCGAGGACACACTAGGGGAAAAATGGCCATTTTACAATATGAGAGGTTAATCCATCCTTAGACTAATAAAATGAGGTTTAAAACAATCATTCTAGTCAATTCCATGATACTCGGTGAGGTTCTACGGTCATCGGTTATGAATTCTCAAAAACGCCCTTACCGGTTCAAGGCAGATCCCGACACTGTTTCACTAAAATAGTCATAACTCTCAACATGAATGGAATTTGAGGATGAGGTTGGTCTCACTGGAAAGCTAACTCAAAATCCTTGAAAATGGACTCAAGAATGACCCTAATTGGGTTTGGAACGAAGAAGTTATGACCAAACAAAATCTGGCGGTCAAAGCTAATACACTGTTAAGGCAAAAATATACACTGGAGGGCTGGAACCGGTTTCCAATCTTGGTACAGGTTCCACCTGGCAGAATGCCACAATGCGAACCAAAAACACCCTTGAACCGGTTCTACAAGGGCTGAACCGGTTCTCGAAGTCCAAAAACCTGAAAATAGCCCAGAAAAGTCTAAAACTAAGCATTTGTGTATATGGGTACTCCCTTGGTCTCTTGATAACTTTATTTAAAGTCTAAACCTATCCCAATTCATGCATTCAAAGTGTGTAAAGTATAATTAAACTCCCGTGCCTTGCATTAAACTAAATACAAATCCAATACATCGTTTTAAAAAAAATCGAATTATATAAATCCCATTTTTATACAATTTCTAAAGAATTACATACAGAAAATGAGGCCTTCATGGCCAAAATTACATAACTTTAATATAAATAAAATGAAATCCTAATTACATCAATATCCATAGATGCATATAATTCATCGGTTTATCTCTAAATTTCTTGAAAAATGTTAATAAGAATAGGGTGAGCTCAACAGCTCAATAGAAAAAGCTTAAATTACATTCCTAATAATCCCGTGAACCACAACCAAAGAAGAGGAGAATAAGAAGAATGGGTCATGGGAATGTCAACCATAACTTCAAACATTAAATTCATAAATCATTTCAACACATAAGATGCAATTGCCCTCCTCTTTCCTTCCAACCTAAATCTCATCAAATCTTTCACAACCATCATCTTACTTCTCAACCCAACTTAAACCACAACCTCAATTCCCTTCTCATCCTTCATTCCCGCATCACGACTTCAATTTCGTAAGCCCAATTTCCCCATGAAAAATACTTGAAATTTATGCTATTAATTGTCAAAATACTATTCATGAATTTAAATCAACATCATTATACATGATATACAAAACATAAGACAATCATAAAAATTATATTTCCGCATTTCAACATAGAAATTAGTAAGTTATGCACAACTAGTATAAAAACGCATTAGCCATATTTCAAACCACATAAATCAACCATATATCATGCTTGAACACCACAACCCAAGTCTCTACAAAACTAAGCATGCTGCACAACAACAAGATTTCAAGTAAGAATATACGTAGAAGCTTACTAAAACCATATGACTCATAATTTAAACTTTCCCTTCCTCAAGATAGTAAACCAAACAAGGCCTTTGCAAGCCCCAAATTTCAAAAACCTTCCAAGCCCTAGCAATATGGGTGCCAAATGGAAGACTTCTCCAAGCTCTCCAACTTTCCCTGTAATAACCCGAACCCGTAGGTTCGAACCATTAGTTAGGTCCTTAACCGAACCCAAGGTCAACTAAGGATAATACTATTCTTTCCTACGTCAATACATGTTATACGTGTCATTCCGGGTTTATAAAAAAATAAGTAATAATAAATAAATAAATAATAATAATAATAAAATGAGATTATAGCTACAAAATATGTTAAAATGATCTATTAACCCATCGAACCCTGTGGAGGAGCGTCGTCTGCCACTTGCGATCAGAGTCTTAAAAAAAATATTAAATATAAGGGGTGAACAAATTGCTCAGTAAGTGGTGCCTAAGACACACCTCTTGTGACCTCGTGAATCCAAACAATGAATTGAACAATGGGGAACAAAATCATGCTATGCCAGGAGAAAATACAACAACCTCAAATCCAAAATGAACAATGTGGTGCTATGGAATGCCATGTCATACTATGTCGCTCCCCCTTTTCAAAATCCAATCCATCAATTTTTCAAACTGTTAATATAACCCGTCCTTTGGTGATCCCGCAGTGACACGAGAAAATGATTGGCTAGTGTCTCTGACCCTTGGTACCCCCGCGGCGTCATTTTGGGCCCAGCTAGCTCAACCACGTTAGGGTGATCTCCCTAATTCCCTCTAGGCTATATTAACACACCGGCCATTTGGTGACTCCGCGGCGACCGGGTTTTCATAAAAAAAGATTTTAATCAAAACTTCTTCCTAAAAATTCCCCCTTTTCATTTCCAACAAACCATTCCCATTTTTATTTTTTATTTTTTTCCCAATGCTCATGCATGGACATGTTATGCCATACATATGTATTTATCATTCTTCAACTTAAACTACACAAGAAAATTTCACATGCTCTCGCATAATATTTCTAACAAATTAACAATAAAATGAGCATAGAAAATTAGTACTTAAACATGCTTTACATCCAAATAAAGTAATACACATAATTACATACTTCATATACATATTTAAGCCATTTTAAAACAAAATCAACACAATCCAGCACACAAAGCATGCTCTTACATACAATTCAATTAAATACACATGCTCACGTACTTCATATACACAATCAAGTCAATTTAAAGAGCAAATAAGAAATTTCATACTCCACAAATGAGCAAGCTTTACAATAATTCTAAGAAAATTTTCATAAGCTTCCATATATTATTTCTAACAATTTTGTCAACGTAATAGCATAGAGAAATCAATAATTAAGTATGTTTTCCATGCAATCAACAATTACACATAATTGTATGCTTCATATACAAAATTAAAATTTTTTAGCGACAAATAATTCAAATTAATCATGCTTGTCAACAATTATAGTAGAAAAACTCACAAAGGAACAAGAAGATTGGGTGTTAGAGACCTCTACCTCAAAATGATGAAAATCTCCAATTTGAATCCTAATTTTCGAATTTCCTAGGGTGCACCAAATGATAAATTGCTTACACCCATGAGTAGATCTCGACAAGTTCTTCGTTTTGCCACAAACGGCATAAAAAATCTTCAAAAGATGAGTGAGTAATTGAAGCTTGAAATTGTGAAATGAAAAAGAAAAATAAAAAGCAGAGGAGGAAAGAAGACAGCCGCGTAGAGAGAGAGAAAATTGGTTATGGTAATGACCCCTTGGTCATTATAATGACTAAAGCCCCTGTGGGGCTCACGGCAACAATTATTACATTTAATATAAACATATATCTATATATATATATATATATATATATATATATATATGATTGGTAATATTACATTCCCTTTTTTGGTCACCTCCAAAATCTTACTATAACTCTTTCAAATCAAGGTTTGCAAGACATATGTATATATAGATGTATAGATATACAGAGAGAGGAGAAAGAAAACTAAAGAGAGAGGGAGGGAGAGGGGGGGGATTTTCAGCAAGAGGTAGAAGAATTGGTTGAATTTATTTATTTATTTATTTTTGTAATTTATTCCATGGTTCTAAATGTGCCATTTGTCAAGCTTGGAGTGGAATCACTTTTGGTCATTTTACTATCTTGTCCCTCACTTCAACAATTCCTTCCATTTAAATCCCATAAAATATCTTTCTAACATATAGCTACCCATATATATATATATATATATATATGCATGTGAAATGACTACAATGCCCTTTACTTAAAATGAGACAACAAGCGAAGTTCCCGAGTGTGGAAATTGTCGGACTTTCCAAAAATTTTAAAAATGATACCGTTACTTCTAATTGACTTAAATTTGATTAAAAATAAATTTCCAATACCCTCGGCGCTCGATGAATGACCAAAATGCCCTTTGGGGCCCGCGTGGCATGCAAAACGAGGTAAAAATTAAAATAATCCAGAAAAATCAAATAAATTCCCAAAAACAGAAAATAGGAAAAATCGGTAACATTACCATCATTACAGAACTAAATTCAACCTCCTTTGGCTTCTCAGGACTCGGAATACTGTCAGTTCCATATGCGCTAGCATCAGGAGGGTGGCTGAGCTTGATACTTCTATTTGTCATTGCCATTGCAGCCTTCTACACAGGTTTACTGATTAAAAGATGCATGGATATGGATCCAAATATCAGAACCTATCCTGACATTGGCGACGGAGCATTTGGGAGCAAAGGCAGATTGTTGGTATCAATTTTTATGAACACGGAGCTCTACTTAGTCGCGACAGGTTTCTTGATTCTAGAAGGGGATAATTTAGATAATTTGTTACCCCATATGGGAATTGAAATTGGTGGGCTAAAAATAAGTGGAAAACAAAGCTTCGTGGTGATTGTTGGCCTTATCACAATGCCTACTGTTTGGTTAGACAACATGAGCATTCTTTCTTATGTCTCTGCCACTGGAGTTCTAGCTTCCCTTGTCATCCTTGGCTCGATTTTGTGGGTTGGTGCATTTGATGGCGTCGGATTTAACCAAAAGGGAATGATTCTAAATTGGAATGGACTTCCGATTGCTGTCAGCTTATACGCCTTTTGTTATTGTGCTCATCCAGTTTTACCTACTCTTTACACTTCTATGAAGAAAAAGCATCAATTCTCAAAGGTAAAGCAAGGATTTTGAATTCACTCTAAGGTGGTTTTAACTGATTAAGGTACTGACTTTTACTCTGCTTTTTTTCACATTATAGGTTTTGCTCATATGCTTTGTCATTTGCACCATCAGTTATGCATCAATGGCGATTTTGGGGTATTTAATGTTCGGATCAGACCTTCAATCACAGATAACATTGAATCTCCCAACAGAAAAAGTTAGTTCAAGAGTGGCAATATGTACAACCTTGGTAACTCCCATATGCAAGTATGCGTTGATGGTTAAACCGATTGTGCATGCTATTGAAAACCGGCTTCATCGTTACTGCAACAAGAGACCCTTTAGCCTCATCCTGATCAGGACCATCTTGGTAATGAGCACCATTGTTGTAGCCGTGACAGTCCCTTTTTTCGGATACCTCATGTCACTTGTTGGAGCTTTTCTAAGTGTTACCGCTTCATTTTTGCTGCCATGCTTCTGCTACTTGAAAATTTCCGGTGCTTATCAGAGGCTTGGATTTGAATTGCTGATCATAATTGTCATTGTGCTTATGGGTATATCAACTGTATTGATCGGTACCTACACATCTTTGGTAGAAATAATAGCACATTTGTAACCAGTAAGTGTTAAGACTTCTTTTTGTTTAGTTGAAAATTCTCTTATTTAATCTACTGTAATGTTTGTAAGTAGTGAATGCTTGTGTATTCCATGATGGCAGTGTTTTCACTATTACCTGTTTTATTAATTTGAAAAGTGAGAGATTAGAAATTGAAGGTTTGTGCCTAAACCTATTACTCTACTAGTAAAGTCAAGTGATTATATATAAGGAATTATTTTCTCCAGAATCACTCCATTCCTTTAGCACCATCTGGTCACAAACCAAGCCAAACAATGCAAAATTCGAAATCTTAAAAGTATATTAATCTGATTCGAATGTCTCCAACTTTCTAAAAACAAACTTGTTATCAATTAATCACATAAGAAATCTAGATAGAGGTAAGAAGATAGTTTTAGCAAGGCAATGACCTTTTCTTTTTACTTTTCTTCTTCTTCTTCATTTTTTTTGTCTTGATTGAAAACGATGACTAAAGCGTAAGTTACGAGCTCTTCTTGTCAATACTTAAAACAGAAAATGACTGAAGAACCTTGATGCTTTGTTTTGTTATTGGGGCATAGCAACCAGAATGATTCCCCCGCGGAAAACTTAATACTGTTATCACTGGATGCACCAGCAAAAATTAGTGATTAGAGCCTTTTGTCACCATCAGATCATTAGTAATTTTAAACTTAGCATCCTATTCTATGAAACACAAAGGCAAACCATGCAAATTCACAACTTCAAATATGTTTAGTAGATTAATCTGATTCTGAGTGTTTCAGAAAATTTTAATCCCGTAAGAAATCTAGTTATAGATAAGGTAGTTTTAGCAGGCCAAACATCTAAAACACATGCAATAGTCATATCTAGTACTTGTCTACGTGAATTACAAATACATTGAAAATACCTACTGAAAACAATGAGCCACTCTTTTTTCTTTTGTTGTTCTTCATTCTTGGGCTTGACTGAAAACGATACATCAGTGAATGGGAAGTCATGAAGGTCTTACTATCAATTTAAAATGTGACAGAAGCAGAAAAGGAGAAGGAAGAGAACTTACCAAAAGAAAGAAAGGTGGAGTAGGGAAAGGGAAATACTGACTATGACGCCGTTGATTCAAAAGTTACACTAGTACTGCAACTGTTCTCATGAAGGAGATGAAGATTCTCGAGGAAACTTTTAATTTGAAAGGCAAGAGAATAAATCATCGTTGTCGTCGCTGCAAGTTCGGCCACCACCATCCCTGTCGCACAACCGCCACCACCATCATTTTAGTCGACAACCACCACCAGCATCGCCACTGCCGACATCTTCTTTGGTTGGAAGGTAAGTCGCCATGGAAGAAAAGCTCTCGCCTGCCTGATTTAAGTCAAATTTGGAGGGACGATTTCTTTGAATTTCAGACAACTATGCCTCAATTTCATCGGATAGCTGGACTGATGTAGGATTTGGACTGACGATTTCCTCTATCAAACTCATCCATGTCTCTCTTTTCAACCACATCAACTACATCTCGATTCCGACGCCGTCGTTGCTGGAGAAGAAGAGAGGCAACAACTTTTGGATTCTTGCAACTTCTGGACCCTGTCACTCACTCTCATGTCTATCTCTGCAATCACCATCCTCAAACCCAGATACCGTTTTTTAGAGGGAGAAAGATGACCACAAAAACAAAATTAAAATTATAATAATGATTCATGAAAACAAGGAAGTGAAAACGTTAGTGAACAGCCCTTAACACACAAAAATTTACGTGATTTGACTTGAAGCCTACGTGCATAATAAAGTTAAGGAGAAAGATTTCAATGCAAATAAGATCACAAATTTCAGCTCCCAAATCTTCTCTCAATTTCTAAAGTGAGGCTTTCAGTTTTCTCTTATACTACATTCCAAACCCTGAAGCGGGGATGGTGAAGTTGTGGCTAGAACTTTGTTTCATTCCAGGTCGCAATGACTCGAAAAATAGAGTTTATGTATTTTTTGACATGTTTCTCTTACGGATTGTGGACCAAGGTTGGATTGTGGACCAAGGTTGTAGATTCTGTTGTAGCTCAAATATATAAGGGCGTTTAGGATTTGTGGTGTGTTACTAGAAATTACTGCAAAATTGCAATTTAGAGAGTGAGAGAGAGAGGGCAATTGGGGATTGAAATTTGTAATTTCTTGATTTTTACATAGTGAAATCTTTTGCCAAATATTCACCTTGAACAATATAAATATTTGCATCTTGTGTAGTGCATGTTTTATGTGAAACAGGGACTGCCATAATTAATTTGAAGATGACTGAAGAAATTAACCCCAGTGCTCAATTTGTTCTCTGGCAAAAGAAATTATGATTTTGAATAGTAGAATTTTCATCATATGACAGCCATAATAATAATAACAAAAAAGTTATTGCATTAATGTGTTTCATTCCAAATTTGTTCCCTTGACAGTCCTATTCATCTCCCATCAAGGTTTTTTAACATAAATAAACACAGATATATACAAAATAGTGAACTTATTTTACATTCAGCTTTAATCGGGATGCTACATGCATGCAGCTTATAAATAACTTTATCCCCTGCAAAGTTTATCCCCTGCCTTCAAGACTAAAGGAAGTTGATTTCTAGGTTTTAAAAGCTGAGACTGGAATTTCAGATCTGTATACTCTTAGTAGAAAGAAACATAAAAAATAAAAATAAAAATCCGAGCTGAGAAACTCAATTTATCATTACAGAACTAAATTCAACCTCCATTGGCTTCTCAGGAATCAGAATTCTGTCAGTTCCATATGCGCTATCATCAGGAGGGTGGTTGAGCTTGATACTTCTATTTGTCGTTGCCATTGCAGCCTTCTACACAGGCTTGCTGATTAAAAGATGCATGGATATGGATCCAAATATCAGAACCTATCCTGACACTGGCGACCGAGCATTTGGGAGAGAAGGCAGATTTTTGGTATCAATTTTTATGAACACGGAGCTCTACTTAGTCGCGACGGGTTTCTTGATTCTAGAAGGGGATAATTTAGATAATTTGTTACCCCATGTGGGAATTGAAATTGGTGGGCTAAAAATAAGTGGAAAACAAAGCTTCATGGTGATTGTTGGCCTTATCACAATGCCTACTGTTTGGTTAGACAACATGAGCATTCTTTCTTATGTCTCTGCCACTGGAGTTCTAGCTTCCCTTGTCATCCTTGGCTCGATTTTGTGGGTTGGTGCATTGGATGGCGTCGGATTCAACCAGAAGGGAACGATTCTAAATTGGAATGGACTTCCGATTGCTGGCAGCTTATACGCCTTTTGTTATTGTGCTCATCCAGTTTTCCCTACTCTTTACACTTCTATGAAGAAAAAGCATCAATTCTCAAAGGTAAAGCAAGGTCTTTGAATTCACTCTAAGGTGGTTTTAACTGATTTAAGTTACTGAATTTTACTCTGCTTTTTCACATTGTAGGTTTTGCTCATATGGTTTGTCATTTGCACCATCAGTTATGCATCAATGGCGATTTTGGGGTATTTAATGTTCGGATTAGACCTTCAATCACAGATAACATTGAATCTCCCAACAGATAAAGTTAGTTCAAGAGTGGCAATATGTACAACCTTGGTAACTCCCATATGCAAGTATGCATTGATGGTTAAACCAATTGTGCAGGCTATTGAAAACCGGCTTCATCGTTACTGCAACAAGAGACCCTTTAGCCTCATCCTGATCAGGACCATCTTGGTAATGAGCACCATTGTTGTAGCCGTGACATTCCCTTTTTTCGGATACCTCATGTCACTTGTTGGAGCTTTTCTAAGTGTTACCGCTTCATTTTGCTGCCATGCTTCTGCTACTCGAAAATTTCCGGTGGGCTTGGATTTGAATTCCTGATCATAATTGTCGTTGTGCTTATGGATATATCAACTGTATTGATTGGTACTTACGCATCTTTGGTAGAAATAATAGCACATTTGTAACCAGTAAGTGTGACTCCTTTTTGTTTTGTTGAAAATTCTCTTATTTAATGGACTGAAATGCTTGTTTATTCCATGGTGATACTGTTTTCATTATTACTTGTTTTATAAATTTGAAAAGTGAGGGATTAGGAATTGAAGATTTGTGCCTAAACCTATTCGTAAAGTCAAGTGATTGTGTAATGAATTATTTTCTCCAGAATCACTCCATTGGAGTCTTTAGCACCATCTGTTCATTAGTAATTCTATATGAAACTTAGCATCATACTGTCACAAACCAAACCCTGCAAAATTCAAAATTATAAATATATTTAGATTAATCTGATTCTAATGTCTCCAAATTTCTAAAAACACACTTGTAATCCAATTAATCACATAAGAAATTTAGGTATAGATTAAGCACTAGCAACCAATACAGAAAGTTTATGTAACAACCCAAACCGGGGGTCCGGAACGCTAACCGGGTCCTTAACCAAACCTGAGAACATACCAGGGGTAAAATGGTCATTTTACAATGTGAGAGGCTAATCCATCCTTAAACTAATCAAATGAGGTTTAAAACAACTATTCTAGTCATTCCATGATGCTCGGTGAGGTTCTACGGTCACCGAATATGAATTCCCAAAAGCGCCCTTACTGGTTCAGGGCAAATTTTGACACTATTTCACTAAAATAACCATAACTCTCAACATGAATGGAATTTGAGGATGACGTTGGTCTCATTGGAAAGGTAACTCAAAATCCTTGAAAATGGGCTCAAGAATGAACCTATTTGGGTTAGGAACGAAGAAGTTATGACCGTCTGAAGTCTGGTGGTCAAAGCTGTCAAACTGTCAAGGCAAAAATGACACAGTGGAGGACTCAAACCGGTTCAAGAATCCTGAACCGGTTCAAGATGGGCAGTAAGCCCATACGTGAACCAAATGCATCCCTTGAACCAGTTCAATGGGGCTGAACCGGTTCAAGATGTCCAGAACCTTAAAATCAGCTAAGAAAATGTCTAAAATTGATCTTGTGCACTTGGGCACTCCTTTAGTCCCTTGGTGACCTTACTCAAAGCCTAAACCTGTTTCAAATCTTCCATATAGTGTTGAAACTAACATTACTAAGTGGCACTAAATAGAATAAGACCATACATGAGTCCGATACATCATTAAAATTAAGCAAATCCGTCATACATAAAAAATATGGCTTTGAGGCCTTACATGAATATTGAAATCATAATGAGACCACAAAGTACAAGAGAATGGTCTCAAGACCATTTCCAACCATGTGGAAGATAGAAAATGATCCCTAATATTATTTACAACAAAAGGGTTAATATACACATTAAGAACAAAAGAGTCCAGATCCGTCAACCCGACTAAACTGGTAGTGGATTGTCGTCCGCCACTTCTTTGCCATGACCTGAAAAATGTTATTAGTAAAGGGGTGAGCATAAAGCTCAGTAGAAGTTGCCTAAGGCTTTAATTTTGGACTCTATTAAGCCACGTAACACATAAAGGAATGATAAGAAATTGAGATTATGCAATGGGAGTCCACACAACATTTACAACTTATAGGCAACAAACTCAGCACATAACACAATTCTACAAAATAATGTGCATAATATGAAATATGATGCACCCATCCCAAACTGGTCTATACCGACCCATCTTTCACTTTTCGAAAACCCACTAATTGACTTTATCGAGGCGAGATTGATAACTAACCCCGGTTCCATTTTTGGCAATGTTTGACAACCGTTAAAGGACCTAGTATCAACTTGTTCACGCCCTAAATCGGGCCGCGCTCCCTCTAGGTCAAGATAGCCCCGGACTCGCGAAATCCGACTCATTTTTTTTAAAAAAAACTGTTCCTTTCCTTAAAGAAACTTCATTTTTTAAATAAAACAAAATTTCCTTTCAAATTACCTCTAAATCCCCTTTTTATGCCATAGTATGCATTGTAATGATTTTTAACCTCAAATCATAAGTTCATCACTATTGCACCAAAAATATCATCAATTCATCATATAAGAGTCAAGTAACATTCATGACATACTTAAAAGATCAACACAATAAGGATATCTTTTTCCTAAGTAAGGCATGTTCAAGAATTTTCAAAATTTTCACATAACAAAATTAAGTAAGCCATCTACTCAAGATTTAAACAACTCATGAGTTACACATATAGAAACATTCACAACTCAACAAGTTTATATCAAATTTCATGATTTACAACATATATCAAAAGTAATAGAAATTTACTCAAATTGAATCAAAACTTAAACATTAGGAAAACCCTTACCTTAAAGTGGTTAGCCAAACAAGGCCTAAGGCTACGCCAAATTTTGAACCCTCTTCAAGCTCATCAACTTTCTCTCTATGGCATCACCAAAAACACTCTTTAATCTCCCCAAATCCAAGAAAGGGGAGGAAGCTAGCGAGATGCACGAATTGAGGGGAAAGAAAAGGAGGGTTTGGTCTTACAATTGAAGCCTTGGCCCTTAGGGTGCCACTTGTCATGCCACCAATGGTTTATACTTTTGGTGAAGTTTCAATCTTACCCTTGCTCATTCAATGTAATGCCTCCTCTGTTCTCCAAAATTTCTTCCCAACTATGTAGATACCTGTATATGAATGTATGAGTGAAATGTACATAATGCCCCTTACTTAAAATGAGAAAACCAAGAGAAGTCTCCGAACCCGAAAATTGTTCCGACCTCGAACAAATTTTTAGAATGACACCACCACCTCTAAATGACTAAACATGACTAAAAATATATCTCTAGAACCCTCGACTCGAGAAAATGACTAAAATGCCCTTCGACGCCAGTGTAACACACAAAACGAGGTACAAAAATTAACTAAATTTAGAAAATTTGAAAAACACACGAAAATAGAAAAAATGAGAAACTTCACAATTTAAGCAACCATAAATGGTTGGTTCATTAGTCACATAGAACATATCTTTAGCGCATATATATATATATATATTACAAAATATCAAAAAATAAAAATAAATATATATAATTTATATAAAAAAATATTTTAATACTAACAGGTCTGTGGTCTAGCGGTACCAAATCCCTAATTCTCAAAGGGAGGGCAGGGGTTCGAACCTCAGTGGAGGTATGTGTGGGTGAGTACTAATTAGGAAAAATATATATATATATATATTTTAATATTTTTCCTTTATTTATTTAATTTTCAATCTAGCTATAGCATTGTGCCATGTCATCAATAAAAACTAAAAAGCATGATGCCAAAAAACAAAAAGAAGTGGAGGAGGAGACATTCGGGTCAACAAGTGATATGCTTTGTTCAATTTGAATTAGATACAATCACATCAACGGTGATTATACAACAAGTTCATACCAATGCCCACCCTAAAACCTCCATCAAACTTCCACGCTCTTCTCAACAAAGACCTGTCTTCTCTGCTCAAACTAAACCAAGTTCCCTCCTTTCTCGAGGACGTCACCAAGTACTTGAAACTATCAGCTGACACCAAAAACCTGAAGCTTGGTAGAGTAATTCATGCCCAGTTGATTGTTACCAATCAAGCCTCACCAGACCATGTGATTGAAAACAATTCCTTGATCAATTCTTACATGAAATGTGGCCATGTTTTGATTGCTCGCCAACTGTTTGATAGAATGCGCATACGAAATGTAGTTTCATGGAGCGCTTTGATGGCAGGGTATTTCCATAATGGGTTTGCTTTGGAAGTTCTCAGATTGTTCAGAACTATGATTTCAGTGGATTATTTGAAGCCGAATGAGTACATATTAGCGACAGTTCTTTCTTCTTGTTCTAATAGAGGATCACTCAAAGAGGGCTGGCAGTTTCATGGGTTTGTATTGAAGTCTGGATTGGTGTTTCATCAGTACGTAAAGAATGCGCTTATATACATGTACTCGTTGTGTGCAGATGTTGGCGGGGCTATGAGGGTTTTGAATTCAGTGCCTGGATCAGACATTTTTACTTACAACTCCATTATAAATGCGTTTCTGGATCATGGGTATTTGAATGAAGCATTTGAAGTTTTGGGTAGGATGGTGGCTGAATCTGTGGCGTGGGACAATGTCACTTATGTGAATGTTTTTGGCCTTTGCACTCGTCTTAAAGATTTGAAACTGGGTTTGCAAGTTCACAACCATATGCTGAGGAGTAATGTTCAGTTTGATTTATTTGTTACTAGTGCGATTATAGACATGTATGGGAAATGTGGTAAGGTTTCAATTGCAAGGAAAGTTTTTGACGGGTTGCAAACTCGAAATGTGGTCTCCTGGACGGCAATATTGGCGGCTTATTTACAAAATGGGTGCTTCGAGGAAGCATTGAAACTATTCATAGAAATGGAACTTGAAATTGAGAATATAGTTCCAAATGAATATACCTTTGCTGTATTGTTGAACTCTAGTGCTGGTCTATCGGCAGTGGGATATGGGAGTTCATTACATGCACGTGTCCAGAAGTCGGGGTTTAAGGATTATATAATTGTGGGGAATGCTTTGATCAGTATGTACTCGAAGAGTGGAAACATAGAAGCTGCAAGTAAAGTATTTACACATTTGAGATTTCGAGACTCCATTACTTGGAACGCAATGATATCTGGATACTCTCATCATGGGCTCGGTAAAGAAGCGTTGGCGATATTTTACGACATGTTAGCTGCAGAAGAGCATCCTAACTATGTAACTTTTGTTGGGGTTCTTTCTGCTTGTGGACACTTGGGTCGAGTACAAGAAGGGTTTTATTATTTGCACAATTTAATGAAACAAATGGGCATTGAACCTGGACTGAAGCACTATACCTGTATTGTTGGGCTTCTGAGTAAGGCTGGACTACTTGATGAAGCTTTGAATTTCATGAGGCTTACTCCAGTGAAATGGGACGTGGTTGCTTGGCGTACTTTGGTTAGTGCTTGTCAAGTACATCGGAATTATGGTTTAGGGAAGCAAGTTGCAGAATTTGTCTTACAGATGGATCCTGATGATGTGGGAACTTATATCCTTTTGTCTAATATGCATGCCAAGGAAAAGAGGTGGGATGGAGTTGTTAAGATCAGGAAGTTAATGAGAAAAATGAACATAAAGAAAGAACCAGGGACAAGTTGGACAGAGATAAGAAATAATACTCATGTTTTTGCTTCTGATGACAATAAACATCCAGAGGCTAGTCAAATTCGTGATAAGGTAAGGGAATTGTTGGCCAAGATAAAACCATTAGGGTATGTGCCAGATATTGCTGCTGTAATGCATGATGTGGAGGAGGAACAGAAGGAAGATTATCTTAGTTTTCATAGTGAGAAGTTGGCCATAGCATATGCCCTCATGAAAACACCTCCAGAAGCACCAATCCGAGTGATTAAGAACCTTAGGATGTGCGATGACTGCCACTCTGCTATGAAATTTATCTCAAAGGTCACAAACAGGGAAATAATAATAAGAGATGTCAACCGCTTTCATTGTTTTCGTGATGGATGCTGTTCATGTGCAGATTATTGGTGATGTATTGATGCTTTTTGGTCATGTAATGGGTAGTGGAGGAAATTTCAGCTATGGAACAGAGAGGTCAGTCGCAACAATTCAGCCTCCATGGCAGCTCAAAGATAATAAGCTCATTTTGAGGATGTCCCTAGCCACCTAGACATATGTAAGTTCTTCAAATCAGATATTCCTCAAATCATGGATTTTTTACTTTTAGTTATTTTCTTGATTAAAGAATTGTTACGAACTGTATTTTCTCAGGTCATGAAACTATAGCAAGGGGCTTAATCTTCTACGGACCTGCGTTACCTGAAAATTTCTTCTACAAGGTCCGGTGGAAACATTGCCAGCTGATGATATACGTACTCATATGCGCACGTGTCTATGAACTCTTGAATCAGGATTTGCCCACATGGAAGAGTTTTCCAATTCCTGCAGCTGAATCTGTGGCTTTTAGTTCTTTTATGAGCTAGGCAGCCTACATTTTCCATCAGACTCTGCTCACTTATCTCATACATGGTAATGTGACAAGAGAAGTTTGACAGAAGGGATGCCAAATGTTAAATAGCCATGGTTTTTTCTTGCATGGAATAAGTTTAATGCAATTTACAAGGATTTCACTTCCAAGAGGAACCGATGGGAATTCACAAGATTCACTTCCAAGAGGAACCATTGGGTCATCAGCCCGGATGATATGATCTCCTCCCCAAAAATCTTAATGTTGTATTTACACGCTTCAAGTTGCATGCTATCAAGGTACACAATCTTCGCCGTGAACTATGTTATTTGGAAAGAAATTACACTCTTTTTTTTTCGGAAGTTCAAACAAAGAAATTGCATTTCATTGTTGGGTGGTATCGAATACCACCAAGGAAGAATAGGAAATCCCACTTCTAATAATGTCAATTTTTCATATAAAATCCCAGTGGTACTGATGTCACTTGTTGTATTACATGTTTTTCTTTTCACCCTCTTCCTTGAGGAATCTATATACTAAAATTTAAAGTGATTTCATTAGACAGGAAGATCTTCTTTTCATTATTTTATTTATGGGTGGGTGGGGGGGAGGGGCTAGGGTAGTTGTCTTAATTCATATTAGTTCTTCAAAATATTTTACAGTTGAAAGTCGAAACCATCAATTTGATTCGAACCAATCCAAATCAAACAATTTGATTCAGTTATGTATATTAAAGGTTTGGCTCATGTTCCAAATTAGTGGAACTGTTAGGATCGATTCGTTTCATTGTTTGGATGTCACAAAAATCGAATCAATTCGAATTGAACTCATAATATTTATATTGTTATACATATGCATATTTGATTTTAATTATAGGTTGATAGATTTTATTACCCGTATTCGGTTTGGTTCGATTTAGCTGGTTCATCCGTTGAGTTCTAATTATATTGGAAGTGTTAAAGATTGATTTGGTTCTACTTATCAAAAAACAAAAAAAAAAAAAGAAGATCAATTTGGTTCTACTTTTACTCTCTAAAATGAATCATGTGAAGTCATCTGCTAGGAATTATGATTCAAAATTCATGTTAACATTCCCAAACAGCCAGACACTTTTGATTAATGAGCTTTAACAGGGGGCACAGAGATTAGATATACAACTTGAACTACAATTCTATCTTTTGGAATGGTTTTGAAATTAGAAGCGTTCTTCACCAACTAATTTCAAAACCAAAGCACTCTTTCTCAAGTCCCTACTTTTGAAGAAGAAGAAGAAAATATATACTTATTTCATAACAGAAGCAACAAAGATGTATAAAAAGGAATATAACGAATTTGACTTCTTATAAATCTCACGCCTCCAAAAAGAATAATAATTCAGCAAAAGCTGTTCTCCATAAATTTAACAAATTCATTGAAATCTATCCTCCCGTCTCCATTTTCGTCGAAAACCCCTATCATTTTCCTGCAGTTCTCCATCTCCAACCCATCTTTAAAGCCCAGAACACACAGAACTCTCTGCAATTCCCTTGCATCAACAAACCCATCTCTGTTCTCATCAAACACATCAAAAGCTTCCTTCACCTCCTCCAAGCTTGGCTCCTTCTCTTCAAACAGGTCAAAAAGGTTATCAGAACTCAACCCCTCTTCAATCTTCTCACCTTCGGGATGGCAAACAAGTCCCAGTCTTTGCATCACCGTCTCGACATCGACTCTGCATAGATTCCCATCTTCTGAGGAAGGCTGGTTTGAAACCTCCAACTCCTGGTTCTTCTCCTCAGCTTGAACTTTCAAATCATCAAATGAACCAACAAGTTGGGATTGAATAAAAGACCTGGATCTTGAAAAAAACTCGAAAATTCTTTCATTCTTGTTAAAAACTATGTGGAACAAGAAGAAATCAATCATTCCAAAAATGAGGACAGCAAGTTGAATAGGGTTTAGTGATATGTTCTCAACTGGGAAGTGGTTTAAATTGTAGGAACACATGGCAAATATATGTAAGTATATAGAAAGAAAGAATGAAAATGAGTACTACTAGTATCGATGTTTTTGCATATGTTGTGTTTGAGGAATGAAGAGATATGGACATGTATATATATAGAATTGAGACTAGTGGGTAATTGAAGAAATCAGAGACGGTGGCTGCTTTCAAAGGAGGTGAGGAAGGTGCTTGTGTGGTGTGCTGGTCTATGGAAGAGAGGTGGCAAGAACATGAAGAAATTTTTAATGTTGTGTGTTGAATGAGCTCAAGTCAGAGGAAGTTTCTCTGCTGTGGAGTCATATTTTAGAAAATTATTGTGATGTGTGGGTCAGGCTGGCTTGGTTTTTCTTTGTCAGGGTCTGTCTCGTTATGTATGGAAGGACTTGCGACTCAGCAGCCCTTTCTTTGGGTTTGGTTGGGGTTTGGGTTGACTTTGATTCCCAAAAGAAAATAGGTTGAAGTTTCTTGGAATTTTATGATTCTGATTGCCCAGTCCAGGGCCTGAAGACGTGTTTTCCGTTTTTTACGTTATTTAGATTGCGGCCTTGCTGGGGCAAAGGTCTACTTATTTCATTTTTGTTGCTTCAAAACAAAGACGGTCTCTCCGCGGGAACGTAAGTTATTTAGAATTCGTTTGACAATCGATTTTGTTTCGTGTTTTATGTTATAAGTGAAAATAGTGTTTGTGAAACCATGAAAGATAACTTTTGTTATGATTTAAATGGTACTGTATATTTTTTTTAACCGTAAAGTGAACAGTATAAAAAAATAATCTAAATAGTCTTTATTATTATTTTTCTTTCTTTCTTGATTAAGGACTCCTGAATATGAAGAGCAACTCAACCACTTCTGCTTGAGCAACACAATACTTATTTGAATAGCCTTTCTTAACTTGCTATTTTGTTTTTTAATCTTGCAACACTTTTTTACAAACATGTTATTATATTTTTGTTTTCAAAAATTTTATAACAAGTTTTTTGAACATAGAAACAAACATTAAAATTGTATTGCAAAATTGATAGGATACATGGTAAAATTTTTAAGTTACCTTAACCATAAAAATAATAATACAAATATAAATTAAAAAACCTACCAGTATCCGTCAGAGTAAAATATGCAAGTCTTTTGCTTCGTTGGGGGAGGGTCTTTCTACACACTACCCTTCACCTGAAGAGACACTGCTATTAATTAATTAGGTGAGATTAGAAATAATCCCCGTACATATAGATGGACTTTATGCAATCTTAATCAATAATGGATTGGTTCCAAAATAAAATCTCATACTTGCTTGGAGAGTTTGTACTACTAATTATGGTATCCGTTGCTATACGCGGTAAAACGAATCGGTTATATCATATGGACCTTTAAAAATAGATTACAAATCACGTATACACAAATACGAATCATGCTACTAACTTGGACAATTTAACGGAACGTACAAGTTTCTTAACAAAGTTTAATAATATATGTAGGTATTCCATCTTAAATATAATGGCTATGCTAATCCATATATTCTCTAATTTTTATTTTTTGTTTTTATATAGATGGATTAAACTATTTGAATTTTTAATTGATTGGTCAAATATATATACACACCCCTTATTGTCATGATTGAGGCAATATTTTTCCGGTTATTCTTAGTTGGTGACACCTCTGTTCTTCATCTTTGCTGGTGAGAGTGTTGAGAAAAAATAATAATAAATAAATAATCCCAAAACATATATCTAGTTTTCATTTTGCATTTGATTAATATGACTAGTTAAACTTAGTAAAAAAATGAAATTGAAGTGATTATAACTCGGTCGGTGAGAGTGTCTGAGAAAAAATAATAATAAATAAATAATCAGAAAACATAGATGTAGTTTCTATTTTGAATTTGATTAATATGGCTAGCTAAACTTTGTAACAAAAGTGAAATTCAAGTAATAATAACTCTATGTTACAAACGAGATTTATATATATATAATCAGTGTTTAGACAAACGGTTAAAATTAATTTCAGGAACTCTCCCCTAAATATTTAGGGTAAATATTTATAGACTTTAAAAGATTCTCTACCTTTTCAACTTCTACTCTCTAGAAGAATTATGTAATTCCCCGTGTAATATTTTAATTATGTAATTCCCCTTGTAATATTTTACAATCTCAAAAACTGTATAGATTTCATCTCGATATCAGCAATTTTATAAATAGGTGAACTAAAATTTTTTTTGGTATAATACATTGTTTCAGCAATTTTATGAGTAGGTGGACCAACCTTTTTGTCTGAGATAACTCATTGTTACTCATTGTTACTCCCTTTCAACTTTCTAGTTTCAACTTAGAATGTGACATTTTCTAAAATTGTGTCAGGGATTCATAATTTATTTTGATACAAGCAAGGTAAGCAGGGTGGAGTCGGTATGTGCCCGGACACATGCCCCTAGCTTGGTCCCCCAACTATAAAATATAGTGAATTTTTATTTTATTTTTTACATTTATAAGAAAATTTCTAATTTTTTTCTTTTACTTCTTAAAATTTTTCTTTTTGCACTTTCGAATTGAATGATATATATGGTATGTAATTTTTTTCTATTTCTAGATGTGCCTATATTTCTTATATTACTTATTGATTTAGTATATTGTTTTGTATATATATATTTTTTGTGCTCTTGATTTAATTTGGGAAGAGTGATAGTTGCATGTCATGGAAATTAATACACTGTATAAGGATCCTCAAGCTACACGAAACTCACCTGTATGAACTTTTCTTGTTTAAAATTTTGTATTTTTTTCTCTTTCGTTTTGTAGGAAAAATAATCATCCTTAACATAGTCATTTTGTAATACAAAGTTTTAAAAATAAGAAAGGTAAATCATCCTTTTCACTGATTAAGTCGACGCAGTGAATTGTCATAGGTTTAATCATCCTTAACTGAGTGTTTGTTAAATGTTTTGGTGATGCCATTTGAGTAACAAATCAAATTTGAACGGCTAAAGGCACCATCTTTTTTTTGTCTCTGTAATCCAAAATTTAAGGTGTAGTTTAGGAAAGTTTAAAATTTGACCAAAATTTATAGTCATAGATTCAAAACTTAAAACACTAGTAAAGAGACATGAATGTCATACAAATTAAATAATATAAAGGACTTTAATAAAGATTATATCAAAATTTTATAATGTACATACACAGATTAAGTGTTGTCAAGTTAAGCAGTACCGGAAAGTGAAAGACTATGAACTTTTCTAATTTATTTTTTCTTTTATTTTTTTCTTTTTGTAAGATGATCCTTATCATTTTGTAATAACAAAATTCCAAGAGAAACCTGCCCTTCATATCCAAGAAAAAAAATTATAATAATAAAACAAATTTTAAAAATACAATTTAATTTTTACAACTTACAATCAAAGTATGACCTTTCAAAACAAAATATATAATAATTCTTACAACTAAAACATGACAAAAAAAAAAAAAAAAAAAAATTGGATAACTATTCATGAGTATGACATCCTGCTGACTACCTAAGCTATTAGTGATTAGTAGGGATACCTATTCACCGGTGAGTAGACAAGTTTTTTTCTTCTTAGATTTGTCACTCAATTTCTTCTTCAAATTATAAAATTAATGCAAGGGACTCTCTCAGACAACTTTTGACACTTCCTGCACCAATTTTCCTCCCTTTTATTCATTAGTGAGGATAAAGGTGCTATCGTTTGGGTCAAGGCTGTCGCCAAAAAAAAATCATTGACATTCTTGATTACATTAATGGGAATAAAAGTGCTATCTTTTCGCTCAAAAGTGCTCCCAATAAAGTTTGACACCCATGATTTCGAATTGTGAGTTGAGACATTTGGGAGCGAATCCCCTGTTGTTCCTAACCCTGCAGTCCCTAGCAGTTCAGTGATGAAAGGCCTTGGTTTGACCACGTCTGATCCAATTTATAATATGTACGTGGGCTCCACTAAAATGATGCAAAACACATTATTCCGTTAACATTCGCCTCCGTTAACTTATATTGTAAATTATTACATATAAAAAAAAAAAAATGCTTTAAAAATATAAGCTAACCAATACAAAAGCTAGCCCTAAACCAAACCAACAAAATAAAACATGAACCCTAAAAAGAAAAGAAAACGAAAAAGAGGCGGCAAAGAACCCTAAATTCTCTAGGTTTCGAACAAAGAAAGGAAAGTTAAAATTCAGCGGGTTTGTTGGTCGCGATCTTCGCCGGCCCTGGTTTGCTGTGCCGTTAAATTTCTGCGCCGTGATTCTGGATTCTTCTGTGGCCATGGTTTGCTTCGCTTTTCCTTTTTGGTATTTTCTTTCTTTTTTTTGTTTTTTTTGTTTTTTTGTTTTTTTTTTTGGTTTACAGTTGGCACGTTAAATTTACTATGCCGTTTGTTGACCTTTTTTTCTTGTGTCAAGCCAAACATGGCATTAGGCACTGAACTGCAGGGTTAGGAACAGCAGGGGATTCAGGCGCGAATCCCCTGCTGTTCCTAACAATGCAGTCTCTAGCAGTTCAGTGATGAAAGGCCTTCGTTTGGCCACGTCTGATCCAGTTTATAATATGTACGTGGGCTCCACTAAAATGATGCAATTCCGTTAACATTCACCTCTGTTAACTTATATTGTAAATTATTACATAAAATAATAATAATAATAATAATAATAATAATAATAATAATAATAATTTAAAAATAAAAGCAAACCAATACAAAAGTTAGCCCTAAACCAAACCAACCAAACAAAACACGAACTCTAAAAAGAAAAGAAAATGAAAAAGAGACGGCCAAAGAACCCTAAATTATCTGGGTTTCGAACAAAGAAAGGAAAATCAAAATCCAGCGGGTTTGCTGGTCGCAATCTTCGCCGGCCTTGGTTTGCTGTGCCGTCAAATTCCTCCGCCATGATTCTGGGTTCTTCTCTTGCCACGGTTTGCTTCGCTTTTCCTTTTTGGTATTTTCTTTCTTTTTTATGTTACTTTTTTTTTTTGGTTTACAACTGGCACGTTAAGTTTCCAGTGCCATTTGTTGACCTTTTTTTCTTATGCCAAGCCAAATAAGGCAATAGGCACTAAACTGCTGGGGATTGCAGGGTTAGGAACAGCGGGGCATTCGCGCCCAATCCCCCGTTGTTCCTAACCCTGCAGTCCCCAGCAGTTCAGTGATGAAAGGTCTTTGGTTTGGCCACGTCTGATCCAGTTTATAATATGTATGTGGGCTCTATTAAAGTGATGCAAAACACGTTATTCCGTTAACATTCGCCTCCGTTAACTTATATTGTAAATTATTA